CCATTTTTCTTCAGCGCCACATTTCAAAACTCTCGAGGTAGTTCTTATCGCCCTTTCTTAGAGTCCATGTCTCCGATCTGTACAGAGCAATGCTCCATACGTAGCACTTTATAAGTGTCTTCCGCACGAGATGCATATATATCAAGCAGTAGGAGTATCCATTTTGATCAATGGATTGCATCAATAACCTCGATTCACTTGATCATATTTTAAATCAAGCAAAAATATAAAATCACTACTGCTTGATACCGATTTGGCCGAGATGGTTAATGTTGAAAATATATGTAACAGGGTAGATTGCTTTATGACGCCCTCGTTGTACACTTGTGCTTGCGCATGTGCTCTTTTTAACATTTGCATATCTTTATGTTTTAAAGGTTTCTGAACATTTTGACATACTTTAACAAAAACGAATGTATGTGTGTATAATTTTTCGTCCACATATTCCGGCGCACGGATCAACCGATTTGAATAATTTGTAAATTAAAATAAATTTGAAATTTAATTTAGTTTTCTCTTCATTTTCTTCATTCATTTCACTGTAATAGTGGATACTCGTATGAAAATCTTTGATTTATGTGTATTGAAAATATATTTTATAGATTTACTTCTAAGAAACAATAAATCTGTATATTCATCTAATAAGATAATAAAATAAATATATCAGTTCTTAAAGATTTTGTCATGAAATCGTCACAAAACGATTTGATAAGAAATGAACAGTCACATTTTTATAACTGTTTTGTTTTGTTAATGTAATAGTTATTGCACATTTTATTTCATACAAATGCATATATATATGGAAATATATTAATATTTTAATTAAAACATATTTAATGGTCCAGTAGCAATAAATGTTGAAAGCAATTGTAATAGAAATTTTATTTTCATATGGAAAGCTGTTCTTTCATACTCGGTTTAGCGTTTAATTAAGACTCATAAAATTCATTCAGTCATTAAACTTTAGTTACCGTTATTCTTGGCGAATATAATATAATATGATATTTAAATATGTATATATATATATATATATATATATATATATATATATACAAATACAACATATATACACAGAGTGTCCCGGAACTCAATATCAAGCCTAAACAGTGTGATTGTATTCATCATGAAAAAAATTATCTCAAGTATTTTGAAAATCATGAGGATTTAAACGTAACTTAGAGTTATGTCAAAAGTGTGACCATTTTTCGATAATTATTGTTATTTTTTATTATTCTCGTACATTTCAAAGTACAGTATTAGTACAAATTTAATCTTCGGTTCCGTAATTGTAAATAACATTTCTAGAACCACAGTTAAAAATAATAAACCAATTGCCACCGAATTTAACTCCAGCTAGAACCAGGGATAAATAGTGTTAGATATTTCTCATTGCCATTTCCCACTGCAGTGCCCGAAATGGGCTATTTTCAATTGGAAACATGTTTTTGATATATTTTCAAATGAAAATTGGTATCACTACTGCATGATATCAAAATGAAAATATAAAATGCTTTATCATAAGTATTTTATAGACCAAATATAAGAGCTTATCAATTCCATGACGACGTTTATATATGTTTACATAAAAAGTAAATAAACACAACTTAATAAAGCGGAGTTATAATTAAAGGACTATATATCTCGAGTTTAGAATTGTAGCTAATATTAAAATTAAAATCCAAATTATATTTTTGATTTTTAAAAAAACGCAAATTATTAAAAAAAATCTTTAATGAATTTAATGAATTTAATGAATTTAATGAATGAACCAAAAAAATGTTTAATGAATCATTCAAGTCGGATACATCGTTCTCTCAAAAACTACCATTTGTTGCACGAATCCGTATCTACGAAACGGCGGGAGCTGTCTTTTAAAGCGGGTGCTGAAAGACGTCGGATATGCATAATATGAAGACCGTCAACTCTCTTCAAAATCTTTCTGAAATGCCAAGTAAAGAAAAAACCCATGTTGCTATCATCAATGTTGGTAGGATTTTCCTGTACCTGCCTCATCACTTTAACCATGCTTCCAAGCGTCGTAGCGCTCGACTAGTATAAAACTAATAATAGTCTTCTTTTATTCGTATTCACATCATGTAATATGGACTATTTGCCAAAAGCTAATTTCCACTTCTTCCCATTTTTACGAATTGAATGATTTTTGAACCAACCAAATCTGATGTTCTCTCAAAAACTTGATTTCTATTTTCTGCACCCTGTTCCTAATCTCCTAAACCGCCGCCCGTTTAGCCGTTTAGGTATGCCAAATTTTCAAATAGGTATGCCAAAATGTTCAGAAACCATTGAAATGTAAAGATATGCAAAATTTTTTATTTTAATTTTTTTACTGTTACTAGAACTTACCCTACTGGAAGTTAAAAATGAATGTAATTACTTGCAAATTATTATAAGGAATAAGTGTAGAACGAAGCGTGAGAGTAATGACTCGCAGATTTGAGCATCAATATATAATATATCACAAAATAAATAATGTAAATCCCGCCAAGACGATTTTTAGGGTCCAGTCAAAAAACGCGTATTAAGCAGAATATAGACAATATGATCATAATAATCTTCATGGTGGAACTACCATAGTAGTTTCATTTATGTTTTATGTTGACAATTGCAGCCCATTCATTAAAGCACGTGATCCCCAACAATTTAAAACTATATAAAAGTAATAATTATTACGTAAAACAATACACAAATTACAAATATTACTTCAATTCGTTCCACAAATCCATGGATAAAATCGCTATCGATCACAATACATCACTTATTTCTCAGATAAGATGGTATGTATAAGATTATTGTAACAATCAAAGTCATACAGTTCAAAAGCATAAAGATCATAATCGACATTTAAAGTGAAGGAATACAATACTCATTGTATTCCTATGCAAAAAAAAAAATTGCCGTGACAATGTGATCATGAACATGTTTTATCATAGAATAGTATAGATCAAAATCAGCAACCTAATCTTAAGAGAAATCTTAGCCGGATAAAATAATTCTTTTTTTGTAATGTCATTAATTATATTTTATAATATCAAGTGAAAATAGCCATTGGAGTTATTGTGGACTCACAAGTATTAGATAAAAAATCTGAAAAAGTTCTCATCAGATAGAGAGTAGTCGATCACTGGGTTGCATTCTAATAACACTAGGTCATCAAGTAAACAAAAAAAAATTAAAAAATCTGTATTTTTGAAGCGTTTCGATTTATAATTTTATGTTGTCATCAGTTGATACGAATAAATTAAAGACATGCATAAAGTATATTAAGATAAATATAATCATTGGCACTAGCACGTAACACTAAAGCTGTAATTAATTGAAAATTAATTAGTTACTTATATGTGTGATATAATATTTTTTAACTCTTTTTGAGGACACAGATTAATCTACACAACTTGTGTCAATCAAGAAAATTAGGTTGTTTGTGTCACACAGGAAATGCAAAGTCATATTGTTGTATTATTAATTTTATGCTCGTTCCCTAATTCATTCATATGTCCTTATGATGGCATAAAATTATAGTTTAAGTTTTTTTGGATGATAAGAAAATGTTATGCTTAAGGATAACGAATTAGGATATTGTTTGCAAAATAAATTTATATAAAATCTCATCAAAGACAAAAAATGTTCGATTTTGTTTGTATGATTCCTTCAAACAAGTAACATTTAAAAACTGGAGAATTTGGTGATAAATAGACATAATTGAAAACGCACATTATAAAAATAAATTTAAAATTTCAATAAGGTGAACTTCTAACTAGCCATACTTAAAATAAAAATTTTGGTGAGATTGCAATTTGAATTGCAAGTTTTGATTGCAAGTGGTTGATTTTTAAAAAAGTTTGAGTTATAAAGCTAAAAATTGTATTATTTTTATATATCTTTACCTTATCAATGCCCTATGAACATTTTGGTATACTTTAAGAAAAATTGATGTGCGTGTATGTAATATGTATATATGTGTATACGTTTGGATATAATTTTTCGTTCACGATTTCGAGCGGCCGATTTGAATCATTCAAAAAACATATCTCTTGTATTGACATAATGAAAAATTAGTTAAATTTTTGGAAAGACAGGTAGCGGTTTTGAAGATGCAAAAAAAAAAGAAAAAAGTCATTTGGCGTTCAAAAATGATCATTAGACATATGCACATCAAATTGTCAGATACATATTTTATAGAGATTTTAATAATAATTACAAATTTTGTTTACATTTCTATGAGTTCAGTACCAAGGTTTATAATGTTCAACTGTTAGACAGTGCCTTTATGCTTTGATATTTCGTCTCTAAAACAGCTACACAGCGCGATTTCTTTGAAATTTTTTTACAGCATTTGAAAATTTTAAATTACTGTATTAGAAGTTCCAGCAACTTGCCTTATACACGATACCATGCACCACTGATTTAAATTTTCAATAGTGTTGTTAACGAATTTTCAGACAGCAAATATTTTTGTCTTCCACAATTTTATTCAAAATTAATTATCCTTAACATCTAATACATGCGTGTGTGCGTGTATATGTATATCGTTTTGAATATCTGTTATTAATTTACGATGATATTCATATGATATAGACTTTCACCTTGCTCTCAAAGTCTGATCATGTTGTTTGTTAAGAAAGTCTGCTCGTATCAGTGGAGAAAGTGTCTTGGCTCGGATCCGACGATGTGTTTGTTGAACTCATATGTTATTTTGCTCCGCATGGGAGCGATAATAATTTATGCGCATGTCAGAGCAAGAAAGTAAGTAATAATCACTTTTACAGCCAACTAATTGAACATTTTCATTCTTATTCGATGAAAATTATCCAGAAAGAGAAAGAGGAATTCGCAATTTGGAATTTTTTCAAATTGCTCGAATATTTTCATGGTAAAAAAGTAGTAAACACGGAAACTGTAATGCACGCTTGTGTGATGTTCGCTAATTATGATGCACCTTACTTAGATAATTACTAGTACTAAATTTCAAATAAAATAAGAGAATAGTAGGGGAGGCTGGTACTATTGTGCTACTTTTTTTAGTTAGCAATTCAATTAGTTAGCTGAGAGTAAAATAAATTAAATGATAATTTGAACATTTTTCTAAGTGAAAATACTGAACTACCGTCCTTAATTACGTTGGATAAATCAAATCATACAAGAAAGGGCGGCCGTCATAGACATCCTGGGGGTGTGTACTTCTACTTACATAAAAATATGTTAAACTAGTGTGTCGCATGGCATTAGTGAATTGCTGAAACTTCCCGTACCAAAAATGTTTTTTTTTAAATAGATTAACATTTTTGAAAAAATTTTACTTTGAAAAAATTAGATTTTTAAGAAACTATAAATTTTTGACAAAAATTAATTTTTTTGAAAAAAAAAAATGTTTTCTTTATTTTGAAATATTTTGGAAATTCTGAACTTTTTTTCAAAGCAATCGTACTGCTTTAACTGCATTGCGTAGAGACAAAATATCTAAGCGCGTAAGCGCTGCGTCACCGTCTAACGGATAAACATTGGTACGGAACCCACGGGAATGTAAACAAAATTTATACTTATTGTTAAAATCTCTATAAAATATCTGATAATTTGATGTGCATATGTCTAATGATCATTTTTGACCGCTAAATGGCATTTTTTTACTTTTTTCACTGGATCTCCGAAACCTCTAAACCTGCCTTCATGAAAATTCAATCAGTTCTTCATCTAGTCACTACAAGTAAAATGATTTTTGAATTATTAAAAGCGGACGCTCTGTTCTCTTAAAAACTGAGTTACCGTTTCTGGCACTTTTTACCCCGTATCTTCGGAACGGCTAGATCTGCTTTTGCCAAAAACGAAACGAAAACTTGCCAAAAACTATTCAGCACGTCTTCTTATCAATACAAATCGAATGTTTTTTGAATCTTTCAAACCGGTTGATCGGTGTTCCCAAAATCGTCGACGAAAATTTGTATCCGCACACACACACACACACACACATCCATTTTTTCTGAGGTATGCCAAAATGTTCAGAAACCTTCGAAACGTAAGGATATATAAAAATTTTAATTTTCGATTTTCCTGCGATTACTATAACTTACCCTACTTAAATGTAAGGGAACTTGTTCGAACAAATATACTTCATCTTTCTCACTTTGGACCCTACCTCAAAATCAGATTAGTTTAGCAGTTATGGCGACCGTAATTACCGTACCCTGGCACAATCGTACCCAGTCTCCCTTAATACAGTAATTCAAAATGTGCAATTACTCTTTTTTTTGTATCTCACTAAGATAATCCCTTTTAACAAAAGAAAAATTGAATATGTTTGGAATCACATTTTTCAAAATTTCCTCCGATTACTTATATACCAAATGAAAAATGTGAACAGTTTACTTTAATTAAGTAAGAAAGTAGAGAAGATTGGGGATTCTGATTTTTTAAAGATATCTTCAGATGTATATTCTCCTTCAATATTTTCACATTCTTTCTCAAATTCATCTTGTCGTCAACCTCAACGAATTCATTGCAATCGATCATAAAATTTGTTTTCACAGCTTTCAATGAAAGGACTTGTTTGTTATGTAAGACATTAAAAATGCCTTTTAGATAAAAATGAGTTTCCTAAATATATATTTTTTTAGTTTTAATTTAAATCACAATCTGTCTTATATTAGACATTACAATGACTATAATCTTGCAATAAATTATAATGACATTTGAAAAGCTATCCTGTAGAAAAACTTGTTATAAACAAAATGAAAAATTTAGCATAATAGGTATGCTATAATTCTTCATTTTGTTGTATTGATTTTTTTTTTATTCAACAATATATTTTCGACTGTCTTACATGGATATAAAGTAAATCTCCAATAAATTGTTCATTTTTCTAATCTTTAAAATACTTATATTATAAATATCTTAAAGATTAAAAAAATTATAATACAACAAGAAAAATTAACTAATAGCAACTAATTAGTTCTTTTGCACTGCCATTGTTTTAAAAGCACATTCGTCATAGTGATTCATAACTTTTTAAATATTATTATTGCGAAATTATAAACAAAATAAACAATATTTCACTGTGAAACAACTCAATTATATTTTGCACATTTCGTTTATGGTTCTGTGCATTTGAGAATTCGAGTAATTCAAAAGTTGATGCTTGGCTTAACTTGTTATCTATGGGATCTGAATACATTCATTTCTTTAGAAAAATATGAAAAGAAATTTGCAATTTGGAATTTTTCGTATAATTCTATTGTGAATATTATAACATTGTTCAGGTTCCGTGAGTTTAACATTTCAAATTTTGATGGGCGAAAACAATGCCAACTAGTGGTGCATGGCATCGTGCCTTAAGGCAAATTACTGGAACATTCCGTACCAGAATTAAATATTCGAGAAAAAAAAATCAGTAATCAATTGATATTGAATCAATTTCTCGAATATTTAATTCTGGTACAGGAAGTTCCAGTAATTTGCCTGAAGGCACGATACCATGCACTACTAGTTGGCATTGTTTTCGCCCATCAAAATTTGAAATGTCAAACTAAAATTAAACTAAACTAAACTAAATATTACTGATCAATGATTAATAACAATAGTTTTAAGCATTTTCAAATAGATAATTATAATCGCAGTGACGATCTTATCACAAAAAGCATTTAAAAATGTTTTCATTAAGAAGAGACGCTGAAAAATCCATCGCATTTGAAATACATTTATTTTCAAACTGAATTGTAAATTCAAAATTCATATTTGAAGTATAAAACTTTGAATTTTCTGAAAATTTTGAAATTTGTTTGAACCGTATAAGTAAACTTTAAATCTTAATAATCTTGGTAGGAAAACAACAAAATTGTAACAAAATTAGTACACATTTTTATTTGTATCAATTATCTCATAATTTGATGTGCATATCTCTAATGATCATTTTCGACCGCAAAATATCGTTTTTTTTACTTTTTCCTCTGTATCTCCAAAACCGCTAAACCTGCCTTACCAAAAATTCCATCAATTCTTCATTTCTTCATTTTCGAATCATTCAAATAGGGTACTACGTTCTCTCAAAAACTGAATTACGTTTTTAGCACTTTTTGCCCCGTATCTTCGAAACGACTGGACCTGTCTCCGCCAAAAACTAATCAGCACGTCTTTTCATTAATAGGAACCGAATGTTTTTTGAATCTTTCAAATCGGTTGAATCATATGCGCCCGAAACCACACACACATACATCCATTTTTTCTGCCATAATGTTCAGAAACCTTCGAAACGTAAGATATGCAAAAATTTTCATTTTAGATTTTTTTGCGATTACCGTAACGTGAAGTTAATGACAACAAAATGGCACATATCCAACAAGCAACTATTCATCAGTGTTGAAATGTTAAATGTAGAGTTGACCTTTTTAACTCATCTACATGCAAGCTTTTAAAATTATATAAATAAAACTGTTGATTTCAACTTCAAAATAACAATTCATCTTTACATTTAAATATTTAAAAACGGACTTAAAAATTATAATAAGTTCTAGTAAACTAAACAACTAACAAACACTTTTATTATGAATTTTCAAATAAGACAAAGGTGATGGCTGGTTTTACATATTTCACCTTCTATTTTCAAATATTTTTGTTAAAAAAATCATTGTTCAGAACAAGTCTCTAAGAATCAAAATCAGCATATCATCCAATTTCATTTTTCGCACATTCTATTACCACTAATTTCTAAATCAACTAGTTATCATTCTCAATTTTAATTCACAGAACAAATGACCAAATTCTGTTTGATATTTAAATATTTACATAATTTTTATGCAATTCGTCTAATGTGAGAAGAATTCTCGAGTGCTAATTATGCTAATCCACAGCTTGGTCCTCGGGCAATTTCAAAATGCGAAAATCTTTTCTAGAATAAATTCTAAATGCGTTTTGCGAAATGTATCTACGAGTATATGTAATGAGCCAATTGCAAATAGAATCTAAATAAAGATATATATCTAAATTAAATATATACTTTGATATGCGAATGCTTTGATGATGATAGAGAATGATGCAATGTTGTACGAATGACATAACGAGTAATACGTAATGGCTGAGATGTTTTCTCTTTTAATATTATGTGGAGAATTTGAACTCCAAGATTTATACGAAGAGAAAATAAGACCACTGAAACGGACACAGAGCTTTGGTGCCAGTAGTTTAAGTTAGATTAAATCAGGGCAAAAGTTGGAAAATTCGACAAGGAGTTAATGTTGTTAATATGCGTTCTGTTTATAATTTTGGACAACTATTAATTACTATATTTTTTATCCAGGAGTGCTCTGCCAAGAACAAGAAGACCCCTGCCAATCCAAAACCCGGGTGTCACCTGACAGAACGCATTGTGATCGCTACTGGGAATGTCAGAATGGCAGGGCCGAATTATATGACTGCCCCAACGGGTTGGTCTTCGCTGGTAAGCACAGGGGAGTGACCGAAGGCTGCGACTACCCCTGGAGGAACGAAGACTATTGTCACGGAAAGCAACTTGCCAGTAAGTAGTTGATAAATATAATAATTAAAATATGCATAATCAAAAAATAAAAATAAAAATGTAATGGCATTTATTTATTTATTATCTTTTCGTAGCAAATTATTGAAATTGCAAGTAATTAGGAACGTTTTTTTCTATTTAACCTTTACCTTCTCCTTTTCTTAGTTACTTTTACCTTTTTCTTTATCTTGAAAAGATTCTAATCATTCTGGCATGCATTAGAAAAGATGTGTGTATTTTGTAGCATGCATGTAAATTTGAATATATAGATACAATTGTTGTCTGTATACTTTCGTTTGAATAAATCGATTTGCAAAATTCAAAAACATTCGATTGATGATTTAAAGAGGACCATTGCATTCTGCGAGAAACAAATTCAGTCGTAATATTAGATACTGCTTTTGACCTAGAGAGATGTGGTCTTTATTGACCATTAAGTGGTAGATTTAAAAGTAGCAATTAATTTAAAAATGGTAGATTTAAAGTTTTTTGCTTCCGTACGTCGACGTAAGTGGCAAATATCGAGAATATACCATACATTGGCAGGTCTATTTACTGGACTTGAGACCAAAAATGTAGCAATGGTATTTCCTGTCAGCAAATATCAATTATATATGAAAACTTATTTTTTGGATGCTTTAACAAGGTATTATTGAATAAATTGAGTATTACAGTAAAAAATAATCTTGAAATAAAGTGCAAAACTAGTTGTGGATGGCATCGTGCCTCAAGACAACTTGCTGGAACTTCCCGTACCCTACGGTACGGTAAAATGTTCGAGAAATATTAAATTTGAATTGTCTTTATATTAGATTTGAATTTTTTTCCAAAAACAACTATTTTGTCAAAACAAGTAGAAAGTTTTTTGATTCATTCAAATCGGATGCTTAGTTCTCTCAAAAACTGCCATTTTTTCCACATTTAGCTCGATATTTCCAAAACAGCTGGATCTGCCAAAATCTAAACACCACTTCTACCCGTCATTACAAATTGAATGTTTTTAGATCAATCAAATCCGATACTCCGTTCTATCAGAAACTCGATTTCTATTTTCTGCACTCTTTGCTCCGAATCGAAACGGCTGGACCTGCCTTTGCCGAAAACTAATCAGCACATCTCCCTATCAATAGGAATGTTTTTTGAACCATTCAAATCGGTTGAAACGTCGGCGCCCGAAAATGTGGACGAAAAATTGTATAAATACATACATACACACACACACACAAATCCATTTTTTCTTAGGTATGCCAAAATGTTCAAAAACCGTCAAAATGTGAAGAAATGTAAAAATTTTCAATTTTATCAACTGAAAATTAAATAAAATTATTATACGTTGTTTTAGATACCTGTATAAGAAAAATAAATAGTTTTTATCAACATATCTATAACCATATGCAAAAGTTATTACACTTACACAAACACACACACACACACATATATATATATATATATATATATATATATAAGAGAAAACTTGCAATTTGCAAGTAAATATTTGAACATAATTTTTTATACCAAAAAATGAAAAGCTGGAAAAAATCGTTATTTTCATTTCAGTATTTTTAAAATTTTACTTAGAAGTAGAAAACAAAAGTTTTTTCATAGAATTTATTTACAATAATTTCCATGGGTTATTGACTTCCATTTTTCACTAGTAGTGTTAGTACAACTTATTGTTTGTGACGAGAATAATACAAAAGAATGATGCTGAAGCACGTCTTTCTTGGAACGTTTTTAGAATACTAATTGCACATTTAAGATACTTTAATATACAGTCATAGTCAATGGTGGTAGCTTTTAAATACTTAAGCAAAAAGGCTTTGATTTAAAGCTATATTCTTAAATTGTTGTGTAAAAGACTGTGTGTCTAAAAAGCAGTCTAATAATAAAAATTCTACAGTAAATTTAAATATATAACATATTTTGTATTTGATTGTAAGTTGTATATTCTGATATCAAAATTTATTTAATTTTTTTTTAAAAACAAAAGAGTTTTTATAGAGTACTACATTATTTAATCAATGCAATGCAGTTTAATTGTTAAGTTCACCAACAAAACTCAAAATCATAATCTAAATATGTATTTTTAAACATAATGAACAAAAAACTTTATCAACTCTTACTACTATCTTGCTTTGGTAGAAATTTATGTTTAATTCATCATAATCAAACTCATTATTTCTTGAAATATAATTATTACAAATAAAGTGAATACAACTTCTGTCTGCAATACAAATTTTATGAGCACATACATTTTTTATAAAACCTTCGCATGGAACTTTATTAGAATTTATCATCATAGTTAGAATAACATTGCCAGCTATTGTAGCGGTTATAGAAATATGCAAAAGTGTCGAATCTAACTTTTTAAAAATAGCAAAACATCTTATTAAACAATTGCATGAAGTATACTTAAAATTTATATTCAGGGGTATCGTAAACAAAATAACCGTGTTCAAAAACAAACAGACTAGCAACAAAAAATGTGGCCGTTTATCTTGTGAGAGCAATGTCGCCCAAATTAAGACGATTCTTGATTAAACATCTTTTGCCCTCTACTTTCAAATAAAATTGTTAAAAAATTGGCTAGTTTGAGATATTGGTTGTGGTCCTTCTTACACGCGGACCTTTAAGCCCCGCTCTATCCTTTATATCTATTATTCCAGAATTTGGAATCTTTAAAATAGTTAAAATATTAAAAACTGATAAATGCAATACCCATTTTGCTTCTGAATTTGCAAAATCAATTGACGAATAAGTGTACATTTTTACACGAGACATGCAAAAAACCATTTAATGAAAATCGTTGAATGAGATTTTTTTGAGAAAACATGACTGTAAGCCAAATTTTCTGTTCTATACATGCACATACGGTTTGAATGAAGTTAGCGAATCAAAATTTCAGACTAAAATATGAACTTCTCCCTTGGGATGTTAACAAGTCCATAAACGCGTTGCATAATCCGTTTAACGCACACATTTCGCTGAATTACAGTTACAATAATTGGACAATAAAATTACCATATAATCAATATTCCTAGTTTATTAAACATCATAACTGTTCTCATATAACACATCAATCGATTGCGTAGGTGTCGCATCAGATATCAATGCAGTCAAACCAGTTCTTAACAATATTTGCAATAAAGTAATAAATAATTAATAAATTAATGCATTACACTGTGCAAACATTCTTTCTCATGTAACAACTGAGAAATTCTCAGAAACATAAAGTTCAAATGTGAATTTGGTATGCGAGTTTCACAACTGCAGTCAATATGAGTTATATTTCTTGTAACATGTCCATAAATCAACAATGAAATGATCTGGTGAGGCCTGAAGTAGATTTATAGTCATAGGTTAGGTTTTGAAGAAAGCAAGTTTATAGACAGGATAATAAATTTTTGTAAGAAAAATGCATAACAAACTCGTGTGCTAAAAACATAATTTATATTTTTCACGTAGGTTTTAAAAAATCCAGCAAAGAATAGTATTTAATTAAATTGTCCATCATCGATGATGGCTTTGTTGATGGCAAGTTGCAAAAACTTCCCGATATGTGTAAATAATCGGCATAAATAATTTGAGAAGAGATTTAGAAACCTCTGAAATTGTAATAATATAATTTGGGAATTTTGTGAAAACGTAGAAAATTTTGCATTTTTTGTAAAGAAACGGCTAACTTTTGTCGCGCAACGTCCTTATCAGCTACATAGAACAGCTTCTAAGTTGTTAAAATCGGTAAAGCAGTTTTGGAGAAAATGCTGACACAAGGTCAAACTTTCGCTGGTCCCAAGCGATTGATAATTACTTGACGTAAACCGTTAAAAAAATATGAAATTAATGGGTCTGATTTGCAGACGAAAACTAACTTCTCCTTCGGGATGAGGACTAATTTTAGGCAGAAAAATTGTACTCTAAACTCATAGTACATTTTCATTGTCTTTTTATATGCTGTCTCCAATATAAATTTCACTGTCATAAAAAATGGGCAATATTTTATTTCTGAAGTGAATTTTACAAATCTTACAAGCCCCTTTTGCAGAAGATAATCCTGAAATTAACACAAAAAAAACCGTTGAAAACTTTCTAATCCTATTAAGGGGTTATGGGTACTCAGAGACATGAAAAAATGAAAATGTTCAGTATTTTTTTTTTGTTAATAGATTAACCATTAACCCACATCAGCCAAACACTTTTTCTCCAAGTGGCTTTACTATATTTATTATTGACAATAATTTATTTGAAAATTTTATTTTTTCAATAAAAATTGAAAATAACCAATTGCTAAGTAACTCTAATTCCAAGCTATTTTCGAATTATAGCAGAATAATCGCAACTTTTCTGCATTATAGTTAGGATATACAATTTTACCTTTACTATTCTCTTGCTGCAAAATTGGGAAAGATTTTATTTGAAGAAAAAACAAAAATAGAACCTGTTCTGGCATTTTTACTACAATAATTGAATATTTGAAACAATTAAAACGTGAGTCGCCCAAATTGAATATTTACTGGTAACATATTAAATATGTATATGGATAGATTGATATATAATATTCATTAAATACTACCAATTCATAAATATTAATGCAATGTACTCGTACACAAAATTCAGTATTACAAGAGAAATCTTAATAGTAAAATACTTTGTGTTTTACAAAAATAAAGGCTAAATGTGTCAACATTCTTAGCAGAACTGGATGTAAAAATGATTTATATAAATATGTAACAAGCGCAGTAACGACCTTGCGTCTATTACTGTTGTAACTAGTCTCTATCAGATGTTTTACATAAAAATAGGAAACAACTATTTATTGTACATAACTTATAAAACGAGAATCTAGCATAACGCATTAGAAATGTAGAAGCAAGAATATTTTTTTCGTAAAAAAAGCTTTTTTTTCAAAAAAGTGTTTTCATATATGAATTTTGAAGCTTGAGCCACATGGCAATTATAGAAAGAACGAAAAAAATATATTGATAAAGCAAACTAACGTAAGGTGCAAGTGCAACCTTGTCGAGGCTGATAGAAAGAATTGTAATCTACCGATTACTTCTTTCCTATCTCAATTTAATCAAACTTGAATCCAAATCAAAATCCACTAATTTGAAACAAGTTGACCAACGCTAAAATAATTACAACACAAAACAACATTTCCAACCAAATCTATTTAAATAATTCATAATGCGTTCATAAACTTTCAAAAATATTAAAAACAAAATCGAAATATTAAAATCAAACTGCTCTGTCAATCTTTGCGCGAAAAAATTTTCCAACTAGTAGTTATCAAAATAAAATACAGTTTTCCAAAAAAAAATAGTACAAAAGATTTTGAAACAATATGAACACGGGGTATTCTAATATTGTCTAGGAATAAAACTATTTCTGCAACAAATAATAAAAAACATTGTTGATTGATAAATTGAAGAATTTGACAAGAAACAATATTAATTTCTATCAGAACAAAAATTTTTGTGAAACTAAAATAATTAGTGTTGTATGGCATCGTGCCTTAAGGAACTTTTAACCTTTATGTTTAATTTTCAAATAGATAATTATACAAACTGTAACTTTTATTATTCGTATTTTAATAATAAGAGCTTATAAACTGGACGACGGCGTTTACATATATTTAGAATCAAGCTAAGTTAGAATGAGTTGTCTAATAAGTATATAAACTAAATTTCAAAGTTATAATTATTCATTTCAATTATATAAGTGAACTTTAGAATTTCAGCTAAAATTAAATTTGAAACCGCAATCATTTTTGATATTTTCAAATGTTTTTTAAACCATTCAAATCAGATGCTTCGTTCTATCAAAAACTTTTGGATTTTCTGCACCTTCAGCTCCGTATCTCCGAAATGGCTTTACCTATCTTTGCAAAACACTGACGTCTCTCCATCAGTAGTAATCGAAAGTTTTTTGAATAATTCAAATCGGTTAATCCGTGCGCCCAAAATCGTGGAAGAAAATTGTATCCATATAATGACACACACACATATACACATCAAATTTTTCTAGCATATGCTAAAATGTTCAGAAACCTCTGAAACTTAAGTTAAATAACAATGCAAAAAATTTCATTTTCGATTTTTGGACGACTACTATAACTAACCCCACGGAAAGTTTATTATACCTCCAATGGTATAATAAACTTGATTATGAAAAAATGGAGAAACATCTCAGCTGACTGAACTTTTGATCAAATCATAACTAGGCCAAAAAAGTATAGAAAATTTTCATGCAAATTAAATTGGACTGTCATGATACGACTTGAAATTAGAGTAGTGTTAGTTTTGCATGACATATTTGACTTTATCAATTTTTTGAATAATTATATTTAGATTTAACATAATCCTTAAGAACAATTTTAAAATGAGATTTAATTTATATTTTTAGACGGCCCAATAGCTACAGAACACTGCGATTGGCTTTACGGCATTTTCGGACATGAAACCTCATGCACCCGTTATTGGACATGTTGGAACGGAACCGCCACAGAACAACTTTGCATCGGCGGACTTTTGTACAACGAAAGGGCACACTCCTGCGATTGGCCCGAGAACGTGGATGGTTGCCAAAAACATCGTAAGTAAACACCGTATTTATTTAAAAAAAATCTTTAATATCTTCCTATCCTTACCTGATAAGTAAATTATTAATTTCCTTTCCCCCAGCTTTGTGTAACGAAGATGCCAACGGCAACGTACCTTTAGGAAAATCCTGCAACCGTTACTGGCAATGCCAAGGCGGTTACCCGCGTCTGCAACGCTGCCCAGCGATGTTGGTGTTCGACAGGCGAAGCTTGAGATGCGTCGCTCCTCCCACTGAAGACTGCGATGTTCCACCAATTGCTCAGACTGGACCTGGAGGAATCGACAATGCTGATGATGATCAGGTTGATAGATAAAAATAATTAGATTGTTTAATGATAAAATAATTATATGAACTTGCATCAAAATGTCCATAAAGTGAGCCTTAAGGAAAATTTCTTTAAGGAACTTCCGTTATATAAACAAATTTTAGATGAAAAAAATTTATTATTTAATTGAAATTTTCCATCTACTTAACAGCATATGGTCTAAGAAACTCTTTAACGTTTAATAAATATTAAACTAATGACATTATAAACATTTTAAACTTTATGGTCTACTTAAAAGTAGTAGACTATAAACAAGTATTTGATTAATAAAATTAAGTATTAGTGCAATTATTGCGCCTTAAAGCTAATATCCGGCAATAGTTTGCGAACATATTTATTCCCCATTGCCCCCTGGGTCATCTGCAAACATACTTGCGATTGAATATTCAAAAATTTTTTTTTAAATTACTGCTGTAATCTAAAAAAAATAATAAATTTACTTAACAAATTATTTAAATGAATACTCAAAAATCAATTAATGTAAAAAGTGTCAAAAAACGACTAAAATTATAAGATTTTAATTATTATGCAGAAGAATTACAAGATCAGATGAGAAATTATGTCGTTTTTTATTTATTCCGATTTTTTGCAATTTGACGGTAAAAACTACATTAGAAAACATATGCTTCACACCCAATACAGATAAACTTTTTTGTAGACCTCTGTAATTAATAAGCAATACAAATCGACTACAGATTAATAACAATTGTTTAAAATTGGGTACGAAACTCAAAGAATGGAAATAAAATTTGTACTTATTATAAAAATCTCTATAAAACATCTGATAATTTGATGTGCTTTTGTTCAATGATGATTTTTGATCATCAAATGTCCAAAAGAAAATTTTATAGTTTTTTTCTGCATATCCGAAACCGATGGACTTGCCTTTCCAAAAAATATAATCAATTTCCACTTCGTCAATACAAGTAAAATCTCTCAGAAAGTGATTTGCCATATTTTGTTTTTTTTGCCCAATATCTTCTAAAGGCACTTAGGCACACACATATACCAATTTTTTCTTAGATAGGCCAAAATGTTCAGAAGGCCTTGAAAAGAAAAGATATACAAAAATTTTCTTTTTCGATGTTTAAGCATTTATTATACTACTTTGCGCAAGTTCATAAATACGTTAAAATTTGTGAAGTTTCTATTTAAAAGAAATAAGCCAAAAACAGTCAAGTAGTTAATAACTGCCATCGGTGAAAGACAGATCAAATAGCTGTTACAAAAATATATTTTGCCAAATTTAACTTTTTTTTCAGTTCTAAGACCCTTTGAAATGTGAAAAATGTTTAAATATGATCAAAAATATATTAAAAATGATTACAATAACCAATAATTTCTTACCTCTCACTCTTTTTAGTTGAAAACCAATACTTTTATTAAACATTTTTACTAATTGTATAATTCTTTAATTTTAATAATCGATCTACTTTAATGTATAATTATGAAAAACAGTGACTTCTAAATGTTTTGTATATATTTTCTATTAAGCAAATATATCATATGAAACAATAAAATTCTATTTTAGCGAACGAATAAAATGATTTCGCATAGAAGTTGATATAAATTTTTCTAATGGGTATCTAATGTTTGATTTTATTAAAGTGAGGTGCCATCTAGCATCTTAATATAATCTTGAAGAAAGCGTAAAGGTATCATTTATTTTAATAAATGTATCTTCAGATATCTTTTACTATTTTTTTGTTAACAACAAGTGTAAAAACTTGTATATATATACAATTTTATTTGAATACATTTGAATGCTGTAATGTATTTTCTTAATCATTTACTGATTTACTTATTATTAGTTTCTGTTTAACAAACTACAACAATATGAGTACATGACAGTAATATTAGTTTATTCTATTTTTTATAATTATTATTAGTTGTATGTTTTAAATAAATTTACTAGACTACTGTTATTATATTCCTATTTAGGTATTAAGTATTTTTATATAACGATTTAACTTTGAGTTTAGTTAACGATTTGAAAAAAGCTTTGAAATTTAGAATCTTTATGGAAATGTTGTAATTATTATTAAAAGTAATATCAAGCCAATAAATGTAAATATTTTTTTTTATTCTTGTCCAGAATCAAAATCTGAACCAGCGTGGTGGCGATCAATTCCCAAATCTGCCAGCAGGAGCGCTGCCGGTTCCGAGCAGGAACAACAACCAGAACAGAGCGAGGAATTAAAAGCATTAAAATAAAAAATAATATATCACCATTTGTATAAAAGTAATTATAAATACTTTTTTATTATTTTTGATCACAAATGTTATTTTCATACAAACATTACAAAATTAGGTAAAGCATATAAATTAGGTTTTTCTACAAAAATGTATTGCAAAATTGAAAAAAAAATTGAAGATAAGAATAGTTTTTAGTGTAGTTTATCAATATTATTATATAAGATTTATTATATATTTTATACATTACAATATTATATGTATGTATTGATAATATATATTACAAAAATTTAACAGAACCTTTGATTTGGCACAATTGCTTTTATAAAGTTTTTATAAAAGGTTTCCTTGTCTAATACTTGTTTTTTCAGTAATATTTAAATATTGCTAATTTAATTATTTTAATTGAAATAATTTTAAATCAATAAGTTTTATACTTAAGTGAAGAGTACTTAGGAACTTTGAAAATCAGTGAAATAGATATGAAATGTTTAATAATTTAAAGGTATAAATTATTTTTCAAATTTATGTTATCAATCTTATAATAATTTCAATATTCCAAGTTTCTATGCCCGATTATATTATATAATTTATATACAATATATTAAAAGCACTTGAAATCAAATGTAGCGTTATATATTATTGTTGTTTTAAAAAACTTATCTATTAGTAAAATCAACTTTTGATTAACGCAATATTTATGACCTGCTTTTAGAAAAATAGGTGACTCAATTTTTTTTAGTTTATCTCAGTTTTTTAAATAGGCAAATCCAGCAGGAGAAAAAAGTGAAAAACGATAATTTCGAAACAAGAAATAAATGACTATGCACTCAAATTTTAGCAATTTCAATTATTATATTTTTTATAATTATGACAATATATAAATAGATACTATATATTATATAAAAAGCATATTAAAATTGCTTCTACTGATTAAAGTATAATTTATTCAAAGTAGTACAAGGTACGATTAAAATATTAATATATAAATTATCAATATTTGAATCCTTAGTGGACGATTAATAAATTTTTTATATATTTTAATAAAAACATTTGTATATAAATTGCTAATAATTTTTTAACATTTACAAATAATGTCGATGAGAAAAGTTTTCCAATTCCTGCCATATCGTATTGCTCTTAATACAAATTTAATCTCCATGTTTGGCTTCCCGATTATTAAATTTATTGATTTAGTAGAAAAATCGAAATAGATTATTCTAGCATAGTCTTTTTCGTGTTTTATAATGCCATTTTGGAATACTCAGAAAATATCGCTCTTTGGTCAAGATTTTAGAGAACAACTAGTTTCTAATGAAACTAATAAAACTATCTGAGTTAACAATAAGCACTTTTTGGTTTGGAATGAAGCAGAATCAGTCGAAAACATTCTGTGCTTGTAAATCTACAATCGATTGGATTTTATCGAATTTCCCACAAGAACTCATAAAATCAAAATCAAGGATCAAAGATTCAATAAGAATCAAAAATTTAAAATCTCAATAATTCGATGTTCCTTATTAGAAAATTTAGAAGAATTAAATTTATTTTTCACCTAATTTAAGAAGCATAAATGATCATAGATAATTCCAAATATGATTTAATATCAACATAGAAAAGATTTTATAAAATAATATTTATTTTATATTCTAAATTTGTAATAATTTTCAGTTTATGAAATTATGAGTAAAGTAAACGATTTCAATTATTAAATTGTATTGATCATAACTTTTCTACAAATTTTAGTAAATATTGGAATCGCAGCATGTGTAGGCTTATATGCAGAGTGTGATATAAAAATACTACAAAAATAGATATTTAATTGCCATATGAATGACATCATGCACCAATAGATCGATATATGTTTATTTCGAAAAATAAATAAAACTTTATTAAAATAATTCTTGAAGAAATTTCTAAAGTTGCAAGTTGCAATGTAATATATACTTTTAGATAATTTATTAATTAATTACTCAATATATCAAAGCTTTAATATTCAGAAAATTTTAATTGCCTTATGCATATATCCCTACACCGGACTTTTAAGGAAATTTTTAGGAAAAAATAAGTATTTTTTCTACAAATTATAATTTTATTAAGTTTAATTTATAATATTTACGTTTACGTTTTACTAGTATATTATTTAAATTAAAAAAGTATTTTAAATATTATTTAATATTTATCATTAAAAATTAAAGAACATTTTATATTTATTATTTTTTTTATAAAAATGCTTTAATAATATTTTAGTTATTTCAATTTCCGTGTGAATCACGTCCTTTTTCGTTGTAGTAGATCCTAATTTTATTTAAAAAAATATTTTAAAAATTATTTAATCATTAGAATTACACTAGATTCGTGATAGTATTTTATAATATTTTAATTAAAATTGCCGTATAAATTTCTTTGAACTATATCCAATTATATTATCAAGATAAAAATATATTATAAAATTTGCAAGAATTAATTTTCTGAATAATTTATAAATGAAATATGATATATACAAGTAGTTTATACATGGATTTAAACTTGTTTTAAAAATACTTTAATGATTATATAGATAATGTCAAGTTTATATTCGCAAGAATTACCTATATAAAAACTATAAGAGTTTTGATATAAAAATGCAAAAAATACTTTTGTGATTTTAGAACATTATTTTATTAAACTAGTGATGTATGGTATCGTGCCTTAAGGCAAGTTGCTAGAACTTTCCGTACCGTATTCGAGGAATATTAAATGTTTTCAAATAGATTATTATAAATACTGCAACCTATATATGTTTGAAGAAAGGTAAATAAAACTCAAAAAGTAAGTAAAACTCAATCAAATAAATTTAACATGAAGGACATTGTCTAACATTTATAGGAATTGAATTATATAAACTGAATAGCAAAGTTAAAATTATTTATTTCAAGTATATAAGTAGGCTTTAGAACTTTAGCCAAAATTAAAATTAAAATCTGAATTATTTTCGATATGCAAACAAAAAAGATTTTTTGAGAAAAAAAATCGGAAAAACATCTTCTTCAATTTTTTTTTCAAAAGCAATTACAAAACAATTGTATTTTGTTTTTTGAAACATTCAAAATCATTGTGCGCCCGAAAACGTGGACGAAAAATTTTGGACACACAAAACATGCACACGCACACACACATTCATTTTTTCTGAGGTATGCCAAAATGTTCATAAACCTTCAAAACGTGAAGATATGCAAAAAATTTAGTTTCGATTTTGGCCCATTACTATATCTTACCCTACGGGAAATTAAAAAACCCTCAAAAACAATCGTTTTGTCAATGCAAGCATGAATTATTCAAATTTGATGCTTCTTTCTCTCAAAAACTACCATTTTTGCACATTTAGCTTCTTATCTCTAAAACCGCTGGACCTGTCTCTGCCAAAAACTAATCAGCACGTTCCTATCAGCAAGAATCAAATGTTTTTTGAACATTTTAAATCGGTTGATACGTGCACCCGAAATCGTGGACAAAACATTGTATCCACACAAAACACACTCACACATACACACACACACATCGGTTTTTTCTGAGGTGTGCCAAAATGTTCAGTAACTTCTGAAACGTGAAGATATGCGAAAATTTTCATTTTGGATTTTTTGATGATAACAATAATTATCGATCACGTGATCAATGGACGTCCCCAAAGATAGATGGAATGATAGACAGGTAGTCAGATAGAAAGACAGATAAAATGGTAAACAAGTAGATATATAGAATGATGGATAGGTGGATAGGTGGACATGTGAACTTTAGGGTGGTCCTTGATATGGATGTTTTTGAATTTTCTTGCTCCCAGTGGCTCAAATGCTTCCAAATTGATGAAAAACAATTCCCCGAAAGTTTTATCTTTTGATATTAGCATTTAGATAGTCCGCACTCCAACCAAAGTTTCTTGATTTTTCTTCCTAAGTAAATACTGATTTTATGGAAAATATAAAATTCTTGTCGTGAATTTTTTATTTATGTTCAAAATAAGTATGATTTATATGTTTTCCGGTGAAATATTCTAAATCAAAAGAACTTAAACTCAGTAAAAGGGTTAAAGATCTTTTAAAGACCCTACGGGAAGTTAAAGTTGATCTAGTCCATATTTTATTAATTAAAAGTACTTTAAAAATACTTGATGATTATATATATAAACAAATATATGTATTTTATAAACTTTTACGCTATATAGAAAATACCCGAACGATTTAAACCGCATCGTAAATTTGTTCTTGTTAACTTCCCGTAGGGCAAGTTATAGTAATCGCAAAAAATCGAAAATGAAAATTTTTATATATCTTTACGTTTCAGAAGTTTCTGAACATTTTGGCATACCTTAGAAAAAATGGATGTATGTGTGTGTGTGTGTGTGTATGTATGTATGTACGTAGGTGTATGTATGTGCGGATACAAATTTTCGTCGACGATTTCGGGAACACGGATCAACCGATTTGAATAATTCAAAAAGCATTCGATTCGTATTGATAAGAAGACGTGCTGATTAGTTTTTGGCGAAGGCAGGTCCAGCCGTTCCAAAGGCACGGGGCAAAAAGTGCCTAAAACGATAACTCAGTTTTTAAGAGAACGGAGCGTCCGATTTTAATAATTCAAAAAACATTTGACTTGTATTGACAAGATGAAGAATTGATCAAATTTTCATGCGGGCAGGTCTAGCGGTTTCGGAGATCTAACCAAAAAAGTAAAAAAAAATGCCATTTGGCGGTCAAAAATGATCATTAGACATATGCACATCAGATTATCAGATATTTTATAGAGATTTTAACAATAAGTATAAATTTTGTTTGCATTCCTATGGGTTCCGTACCAATGTTTATTCGGAAGTCGGCGACGCGGCGCTTACGCGCTTTGACATTTTGTCTCTATGCAGTTAAAGCAGTACGATCGCTTTGAAAACTAGCTGTAAGTGGAATTCTGTCTTGAGGCAATTATGGCATCGTGCCTTAAGGCAAATTGCTGGAACTTCCCGTACCGTAACGAAATGTTCGAGGAATACTGAATGTTTTCAAATAGATTATTATAAATATTGTAACATTGTCTAATATTTATAAGAATTATATAAACTGAATTGCAGAGTTGAAATTATTTGTAAAGTATATTAGAACTATAGTCAGAATTAAAAATAAAATCTGAAATATTTTTGATAAAACTAAAAAAAAAAAAAAAAAAAAAAAAAAATTGAACAAAATTTTTTTTCCAAAATCAATTATTTTGTTAAGACAAGCAGAAAGTTCTTTGAATCATTTAAATCGGACGCTTAGTTCTCTCAAAAACTGCCATTTTTTACATATTTAGCTCCATATCTTCGAAATGGCTGGGCCTGCCTTTGCCAAAAACTAATAAGCACTTCTCCCAATCATTACTAATTGAATGCTTTTTAGATCATTCAAATCAGATACTCCGTTCTCTCAAAAATTCGATTTCTATTTTCTGCACTCTTTGCTCCGTATCTCCGAAACGGCTGGACCTGCCTTTGCCAAAAACTAATCAGCTCTTTTCCCTATCAATATGAATCGAATGTTTTTTGAACCATTCAAATCGGTTAATCCGTGCGCCCTAAAACGTGACTGGAAATTTGTATCCATACATACATACACACACACACACACACACACACACACACATCCATTTTTTCTGAGGTATGCCAAAACGTTCAAAAACCTTCAAAACGTCGAGAAATGTTAAAATTTTCAATTCCGATTTTCGGCCCATTACAATAACTTACCCTACGGGAAGTTAAAAAGTTCAGATCTTCCAAAATAAGCCAAAATAGAGAAAACATCATTTTTTCAAAAAAAAATTGAAAAAAAAAGTTTTTTTAAAATTTTTTTTTTTTTAAATTTTTTTTTCAAAAAAAAAGTAATTTTTTGTCCAATTTATCGTTTCTCAAAAATCTTATTTTTTCGAAGTAAATTTTTTTTGAAAATGTCAATTGTTTTTTAAAAAAATAATAATTTTTGGTACGGGAAGTTCCAGGAATTTGCCTTAAGGCACGATGCATTAATTGCCTTAAGACAGAATTCCACTTACAGCTAGTTCGTCCTTTATCCGTTATCCCTATCCCGTTATCCGAGTATTCCACCCTTCGGCAAGTTCAGGTTGCGCGGTTGCGCCAGTGCGGCGTGAAGTTCTCCGTCAAAGTATTGAATGAATGCGAAATGTCAAGAGACATGAGCAGATGTCATTCAGAGTTTGTTAGCGCTAGAGCCGTGCTAGTGGCGTCAGACTTCTAATTCGGTTCCATTTCTCCGTCCTTACAATTAAAAACAAATAACGAAAATTAAATCAGAAAAGACTCGCACACGAACAGATAATGGATAATAAATAAAATTCAATTTATCACAATTATGTGACTCGAGGGTCAAGGAGACAGGAATCGTTCGATGCGTGAGTATTAATAAACGCATTCGTGATTTGATTTGTAGTTTATTTGCAATTGAGTTTAAGATTAAAAATAATAGTGCTTCGGTAGACTGCTTCTTGTAGTTTTCATGAGATTGTTTTTTAAAGGTTAGTGTCGAATGTGTTGCGCAATTTTGCCATTAAACTTTATGGTTCCTACCGAATTGTGAATTAAATATTAAAGGTTTAATAAGGTTTCAGTGTAACGACATATACAGTTCGTGGAGTTTCTGTTTTATTCATAATTTGAGCAGGTATGTAATCGGAATTATAGAGACGCCTTATTATGAGCTAAATTCAGTATTCTCATTTATATATAAGCCAAACAAGCTGTAACTTAGTAACACCGCGTTTTGGAGCCCCCATAAAAATTCTGTTTTATTCATAATTTGAGCAGGTATGTAATCGGAATTATAGAGACGCCTTATTATGAGCTAAATTCAGTATTCTCATTTATATATAAGCCAAACAAGCTGTAACTTAGTAACACCGCGTTTTGGAGCCCCCATAAAAATTCTGTTTTATTCATAATTTGAGCAGGTATGTAATCGGAATTATAGAGACGCCTTATTATGAGCTAAATTCAGTACTCTCATTTATATATTAGTCAAACAAGCTGTAACTTAGTAACACCGCGTTTTGGAGCCCCCATAAAAATTCTGTTTTATTCATAATTTGAGCAGGTATGTAATCGGAATTATAGAGACGCCTTATTATGAGCTAAATCAGTACTCTCATTTATATATAGCCAAACAAGCTGTTGTTAACTTAGTAACACCGCGTTTTGGACGCCTTATTATGAGCTAAATCCAGTACTCTCATTTATATATTAGCCAAACAAGCTGTAACTTAGTAACACCGCGTTTTGGAGCCCCCATAAAAATTCTGTTTTATTCATAATTTGAGCAGGTATGTAATCGGAATTATAGAGACGCCTTATTATGAGCTAAATTCAGTACTCTCATTTATATATAAGCCAAACAAGCTGTAACTTAGTAACACCGCGTTTTGGAGCCCCCATAAAAATTCTGCATAATATATGATTAAATATTGGTATATAAAGTTTTGCATGTTAAATGATATAGAACTTTATACTGAATCTTTACTATAATGTATAATTATATTGTGTTTACTTGGAAAGTCGAAAATAAACTACACCGTTTTATATCACTTTTGAATTACCGAAATAATTCTTTATGCTGAAACCTTGTTGAAACTCTGTTTTTATGGAATATTTTATATATAGGGTGAAACGGGGCTTAAAGGTCCGCGAGTAAAGAGGTCCTCCACCGATATCTCAAAAATCATCAAAGTTAAGAATTTTTTGTAACAATATTTGCAAGTAGAGGGAAAAAGATGTATAACTATTAATCACCTTGATCCTTACGACGTCGCAATGTTAGAAAATCCTTAACAAATGTATATTTTATTTCGTCGTTAGTTTTTTTTAACTTCCTGTAGGGTAGTTATAGTAACGGGCCTTAAATCGAAAATGAAAATTTCTGCATATCTTCACGTTTTGAAGGTTTACAATATTTCGTCTACGTTTTCGGGCGCACGGTGTAACCGATTTGAATGGTTCAAAAACATTCGATTGCTATTGATAGAGAGATGTGCTAATTGGTTTTTGGAAAAGGCAGGTCCAGCCGTTACCGCACGGGAAGTTCTAGCAATTTGCCTTAAGGCACGATGCCATACATCACTAGTTTAACAACAATATTTGAAAGTAGAGGGTAAAAGATGTATAACCATCCATCACCTTGATTCTTATGACGTCGCTATTGGGAGAAAAATGGCATTGTTTGAAAATCCTTAGCAAATATATTTTATTTCGTTGTTAGTTTTTTTTGGTTGTGAGCACGAGTTCACGAGACCTTAATATAATTTTGAAGTGTACGTTATGTAATTATAATTGTTTTATAAGATGTATTGTTAACTAACTTCCCTTAGGGTAGTTATAGTAATAGGCCGAAAATCGAAAATGAAAATTTTTGCATTTGTCGACGTTTTGAAGGTTTCTAAACATTTCGGCATACCTCAGAAAAAATGTATGTGTGCGTGTGTTTTGTATGTCCGCATTTTTTCTTCCACGTTTTCGGGCGCACGGATCAACCGATTGGAATGGTTCAAAAAACATTCTAATCCTATTGATAGGGAGATGTGCTGATTAATTTTTGGCAAAGGCAGTTCCAGCAGTTACGGAGATACGGAGCAAAGAGTGCAAAAATACAAATCGAGTTTTTGAAAGTATAAGGCATTCGATTTAAATGATCCAAAAAAACATTCGATTCATAATGATGGGGAGAAGCGGTGATTAGTTTTTAGCAAAGGCAGGTCCACCCATTTCTAAAATACCGAGCTAAATGTGCAAAAAATGGCAGTTTTTGAGAGAACCAAGTGTCCGATTTGAATTATTCAAAGAACTTTTTGCTTGTTTCAACAAAATAATTGCTTTTGGAAAAAAAAATTTTTGTTTCTAATTTTTTTTTTGAAAAAAAAATTTTTTTCAAGGATTTTTTTTTGTATATCGAAAATAATTCAAATTTTAATTTTATTTTGTTCTAATATACTTTAAACAAAAATTTCAACTTTGCAATTCAGTTTATATAATTCTTATAAATATTAGACAATGTTACAATATTTATAATAATCTATTTGAAACCATATTCCTCGAACATTTTGTTACGATACGGGAAATTCCAGCGGTTTGCTTTAAGGCACGATGCCATGCACCACTAGTTTCAACTTATTGTTAGATTTACCATTTTTTATATAATCTCTATAAAAGCTTACACGTGAGTGATATAAAAAGGACCACCTGAACCTTAACAAAGTGGTTTTTATACATACCATATAAAAAATGAATATTTGTGTGCGTGTGTGTGAGTGTGTGTATGGATACAATTTTTCGTCCACGATTCGGGTGTACGGATCGACCATTTGAATAATTCAAAAAGCATTCGATTTCTAATGATGGGGGGACGTGCTGATAAGCTTTTGGCAGACAGGTCCAGCCGTTTCGGAAATACGGACTAAAGAATACAGATAATATAAATTAAGTTTTTGAGAGAACAGACATCCGATTTGAATGATTCAAAAAACATTTTGCATTTGTTTGAAGTGTGAAGAAACAGTTAGTTTTGGCAAAAGCAAAAAAAAATTTAATTAATAATTTTCCAAAAAATTTTTTTTGAATATTGAAAATGATACAGATTTTAATTTTAATTCTACATAAAAGTCTAAAGCTCGCTTATACACTTCAAATAAATAATTTTAATTTTGCAATTCAGTTTACATAATTCTTAGGAATATGAGATAAGGTCCTTCATTCTGAACCTGCTTCATTAAGTTTTGTTTTTCACTTTTCACATAATCATATATAAACGTCTTATTCCAATTTATAAGCTCTTATATTTTGTCTCTAAAGTACGAATAATGAAAGTTACAGTATTTATAATAGTCAATTTGAAACCATTTGCAATTCATCGAATATTTCATTAAGGTACGGTAATTTTTTTATATATCTTTACGTTTCAAACGTTTCTGAACATTTTGGCATACCGTAGAAAAAAATGATGTATGTGTGTGTGCGGATACAAATTTGTTTAACTTGGATTCAACTGAAGTTTGCTTTACGGCACGATGCCATAACCGCTAGTTTTTTCTTTTTTTGAATATTTATTATATATTTCATATTTTTCATTAAAATTTCTCTATAAGATAAAATTTTCGGTTTTGAGATCATTGATAGCATATAAGTTGTATGTCAAGGTATAATTTTGATGTATCAATTCGTTTTTAGAACATACATCTGTGATAAGTCAGATCGCAACATAGGATTGCAGTAATAAAAAGCCTAAACTAAAATAATAAAAATGAAATTTCTATACTGAAAAACATATTGAGTAATAGTGATGAAAATCTTCTATAGCTAATCGGACTTAATCAGTGTTTCTAAACAATTGACCCGGGGGATTTTTTATGTTGTCAAGTTTTAAAAAATGTGGGCAAAAACTACTGTATTCTCTTGATGAAATTTTAAATAAAATTATGTTTTTTTATAATTTTAAGATGAAAAGGAAAATGTTGAGTTTAATTTAATTTAATATGTAGTTAACAAAACCATTGGACATAAAAGTAATAAACTAAGTATAATTTAAGTTTTATACTTAAACTATAGAGATAATTTAAACTGATACTACAATGAATAAGATACTACAATATCAAAACATGGAAAAAAACGTTATAAAAGTGTAAAACTAGTGCACACACATCAAAAGACACTACAGACACACAAAGCACTAATTGTAATAACTGCAATCAATGCAATAAAATTCAACGTTAACCGAAACGATTTAGAACTATTGCACTGTTAGTCTACTCTATTTTCTTGTCATAAAAATGAAATATATATGAACTGCAAATATAGTCCTTCTGCATGATAATTAGAGTCTTATTTTTTCTGTCGATTCCTGGCCCTTTGTATCTTAAATGACTAATGAATTTTACTTAAATGATATATTGAGTTGTTATTTGTATAATTCGGCAATAATTTGCAAACTATTATTTACGCTCCATTGCCCCTGGGTAATCTGTAACCACATTTGCAATAAAACAACTGAAAATGCAAATTACTGTTGTATTTAAAAAAAAACTCAATAGAAAATTTAAGTTATTTTAAGTATTTTTTATTTTATTCCATTTTTTGCAGTTTGATCCCCAATTTTGACTTCAGATTCGTGTTCAGCGGTAAAAACTACTTCGGAAAGCATATGTCGCGCACCCAATACTGACAACTTTTTTTTAGGGCCTGTGTAATTTGAGAAAATACGAAATTTCGTTGGAGTATAAAAAATATCGAGAATAATAAAATGATGATAAAATGAACCAAATTTAAAAAATAGTACGCAAACTAGCTAAAAAGTCACCAAACAGTGGTTCAATCCCCTGGACATATTTTCAAACAGTGCTTCTATTACTTCTATAAATAGGTCTCAGAATCCGGTTAATATGACGTAGTTTTGCCAGTTTTTTTTGGACATTCGTTTAGGCTCCAGCTATAGGTTTACTTTATTGAATAAACAAGAATTTAACGACTATTACGTGAGTCGTCCGATTATCCCTTAATGGACCACGGGCGCCGTATAGGCGATGATAATTTTACCAACTGGATCCAATGGCGCATATATAGTACCAAACTATTATTAATTTTATTATATTTACTGTTGCAACATTTACAAGAAACGCGTTAATAAAAGTGTTGCGATTTTTTGTGCCTTTCATATACATGGCCTGGATTTCCGGGATGGTCCCGAATCCTTGCTTTTTGGATTTTTTGAAAGCAATATTTATCCTGTGCTCAATTTTTTAAAACCCGATTGTTCTGCAAATTTCAAAAAGTTTTCAATATTAATTTTAAATATAATACAATTAGAATTAAATTTGAGCTGAAAAACTATTCAAACCCCTGATTTAAAATACAAAAAATGTCTTCTTAATTATTGTGTAATTTCATTACAAAAGCAATATTGTTTTTATATTTTTTAATTTCCCAAAGGAGAAGTTTATGCTTTCATCAAAAAATCCGATTCGTTAATTTTATGTTTTCTCGACGTTTCAAGCCATTCTGAATCGAATGAGATCAAATTTGTAAAAAGTATGTGTATGCGTATGTGAACAGTTTTTTGCCGTAAATTGCGATTTCAAAAATTTAAAAGCCATTCGATGGACTATCGTTTGTCAGTTTTGCGCTATGATCGGCCGAACCGTTTCTTTGTAAATCGCAAAATTTTTTGTCCACGTTTTACCCCGTAATTCTGAAAAATTCCAAAACCGTTCGAAAGATATTGGTTGGGAATCCTGCTACTAAACCATCAAAGTCCTACGGAAACTGGTTCAATTATAAAAATTATTGATTTTTGAAAATTAGCTTTTAGAAAATACTGCGAGTTAACGTCTTCGTTCGTTTTCAATTATGTGTAATAAATCCACTCGGAATACTTTTAATCACTCATAAATTAATTTATTTTTACACATATCGGAAAGTTCATGTAACTTGCCTCAAGGCAAAATACCAATACCAACTAGTTTAAGAAATCGTTCGCAGTTTGAGATTCAGAAGTTATTTAGCTTAAAACTGTCAAAAATAATTACTTTACTGGTTAAGTCATCGGGGTGATAATGAATATTTATAAAAAAGAAAAAGCTTAGCACAAAATTTCAATACTCGATTTATAAATGTTTTCAAGCATCTCGAATAAATGCTAGACCTGGAATGAACTTCAATTTGTTCCGGACCGCTAAGGGTTACTGTGACCAAATATTTCTGTTTGATTTCTTAGAGTGTATTCTGACTTCAAAAAAATGTTAAGGGCATATTCTAGCCTAGAGGCATGAATTTTACGCGATTTTTGAAAGGTCATAAAATAAAGGCATAAATACTTTTACTTTAGTATTAATTATTGTTTTGAGAATTTAAAAATAATGATAAAAATTAAAAATAATCAAAGTTTTAACTCCAGGAGGTGATGAAGTGGAGAACCTCAAAAAATTGGCTGAAAAATTTATTATATTGTTTTTGTTTACAAAATAGCTACTAAAAGAGAAATTTTATTTACAACACGTTATTCAAATTAAGAAATTTTGACTTTTGAAATATTCTCGAAATTTTTAAAATTTAAATAAAAATTGGAATTTGGGAATGAGCGTAGTTTATACTGAAGAAAAGTCTATAAAAAAATTAACTAATAATTTTATTTAAATTAGTCCAAAAGAGGTTGAGAAATCTTGAGTATCGTATCGAAAATGACAGTTTCGAGAAAAATGCGTTTAAAAGTATCTGGTAAGAACGGAATGAAGGGAGATTATTGTGCTCTAACAGCCATAACTTCGCAAATAATTTAAATTATAAAAAAAATTTTTGTAGACATATTCTTGAAGAGTTAAACTTAGAAAATATGCGAACAAAAATGAGGTTTTTTTAAATTCTAGGTCATAATACCCCTTTAAGACAGCACGATTACATTAAGACTTCTATAAGAAATTACATTTATAAGAATAGCATTGATAACCAGTTTGAAAGTACCAAAATACCCTACTGTAACAGTAGTACTTTTAATACTACAGAAAAATATTTTTTTGATTGGAATATGAAAAAAATCTAACAGTTTATAATTCAAATTTATAAAAAGTTTAAGAACCACTGGTTTATTACAATTTCCTTTTGGCGTTTATGGTGCCCATCATAAAATCCTGTCTGTTTAAATGTTAAGTCAGTTTTAATGATGTAGTTGATCTATTTGTAGGTTGCGGCAGAAACGCGACGAAGGAAGGATTATTTATAGAGATCAGTAGTTTCATAGATAACAACTCTAGAAGATAACTAATTAAAGTGATGAAGCTAATTGATGCAATCAGTTAGTGTTATCATATGAATTGCAAAGACAGACCAGTGCCAGAATATTCAGCACAGAAGCAAGATGAAGCATGCGGGGACTGGTGACACTTGTGAAAAGGGAAAGGTATATTAGTAAATTAGAAAACAATTATTATATTTATAATAATTAAAAAGCATTTCACAAACGAGCATGTTAACACAAAAATTCAAATTGCCAAACTGCACAAACATTTTCCACTACTAACATCTAACAAATTTATCTATACTAACGAAACATCTACGAACTACCTATGATCAACTGTGACAACACAATATCGTTCACAAATCATCTTCATAACTGTTTTATGAAAACAATTATCTTAATAATTAATATATTATAAATATATTAGAATTAATATATTATAAATATAATTAATATATTATAATGTATTATATATTATAAACTAGTACTATTTGCTTTCATCAAAATTAAAGTGTTCGATAATTGTTTAAATTCAATTTACTGCTTGAATGATTTTTCACATCAGTTTTCTGTGATCTGCCAACAATCAATTTTTTTTATTTAAAGCCAATTTACCAGATTGTTAATTTGTACAAACTAAATGTTCTATAAAAGAAATTTTTATATATTCAAAGGCATCTTGATATGATACGATAAACTAGTTTTTGATGAGATACTTATATTAATATGATATATGACTGTAGATATTTGATCAGACTTTATACTTATAAATAATAAGTACAAAATAAATAAAAAGCACTTCAAAATGTTATAGTGATAAGTGTTACTGAAATAAACAATTCTCAAAAAGGTAACTAATTAAATTGATTCGAAAAGGGAATGCCTGTTGGACTTATGATAATGAATCAAAGTGAGTTGTCCTATGATCCAAATTTAACATCTGTTTGAGGCACATTTATTGAAAAGTTATAGATAATATCTATGCCATAAAATCATCATTTTAAATAATATAAAATGAACAGAATCTTTGTAATGAAAAAGAAAATAATTATATGTATAATCATATATATGAATAATAAGTACATAATATATAAGAAACACTTCAAAATGTTATAGAAAATAGTTTTATCAAAATACAAAATTCTCAAGCAAAAAGGAAACTAATTGACTTGATTCGACAAGGAATACCTGTCGAATGTTATCATTGAAGTATTAAATAAATAAGAAATTTGATACATAATTGAATCGAATAAAGATGTCCTATGATTCAAATTTAACATTTGTTTGAGACTAGCCTATCAACAAGCTTTAGACAACATTTATGACATTAAATTAACATTTTAAAGTATGAGTAAAATCTTTGTAATGGTAAAAATAATAATGGAATTAAGAGCTGTGATATGGATTTGAGATCATTGAGAAAGAAGTTAGAAAAATAGTATGTGAACAAGTGACGGTCAAAGAAACAAATGGTGATTCAATCCGATGGGGATCAATTTCAGTAGACGCTTCCATTTCCATTGTTATCATGTCAATAATATTGTAACATAAAAACGGATAAAGACTTAAAGATAATTCACTTGAATAAACTCAAATAAATATCATAAACTTAAACAAGACACTGAGACCAAATTTGTTGATTTTTTGGACATTATTAGCAGCTTAACAACAATCAATAATGGCTAGTAAATAAATGAATATAGTTGCTCATCATTATCAAGCATAATGGTTTAATAAAAATTTCTTTTATGTGTTAAAACATACAACAAAGGGTATAGCTAAATTTATTTGTAATCTGCATAATAATAATAGAAAGTTTACTTCAAGTGGTAACAGTTTTATAATTTTTTTCAATACTTGTCTTAAACATTTTAAAAAGAATATTTGAAGTGATTTATTATTATCGATCCAAATTTATTGAGACAAAAAGTGATTTATTGTTATCGAGCCAAATTTTAAATCAGCTTTATGACTCAATATTTGACAAGAATGATTGCCAAATTAAAATATTAGTAAAACTATTTCACTTGGTAATTGAGTTTTATAAAAAAGTTCACTTTAAGTGGTAACAGTTTTATGAATTTTTGAATTACTTGTCTTTGGCATTCTAAAAATAATATTTGAAGTTATTTATTGTTATCGATATAACTAAATATTGTATCGGTTTCATGACTCAATATTTGACAAAGATGATTGTCAAATTAAAATATTAATAAGAATATTTCACTTGGTAATTGAGTTTAATAAAAAGTTTACTTCAAGTGGTAACAGTTTTATAAATTTTTGAAATACTTGTCTTGGGCATTTTAAAAAAAATATTTGAAGTGATTTATTGTTATCGATATATCCAAACTTTAAATCAGCTTTATGACTCAATATTTGACAAAGATTCTTGTCAAATTAAAATATTAGTATAACTATTTGACTTGGTAATTGAGTTTAATAGAAGGTTCACTTCAAGTTGTAACAGTTTTATAAAGTTTTGAAATATTTGTCTCGGGCATTTTAAAAAGAATATTTAAAGTGATTTGTCGCCATTGATATAGACAAATTTTGAATCAGCTTTATGTCTCAACCAATCGATTCAGTTACCAAGTTAAACCCTATAATGTTTATCCTTTTTGTATGAATGTTATACTACTGTCTAAAATATCTTATTAATCTCATATTATCTATTAACCAGGTGATGGTATTTCTTCGAATGAGTTTTCGTGATTTGTGTATAGTGACAGTGTCTTTACCTCTAATTTCATTGTTGATCTGTTTTGTAACGGCCTATGTCTTCCAATATGATGACATACATGAGACGCATTGTAGAGTAAGTGTGAAATGATATCATCTATATATGTTTTATTTTAACAAGTTAATTTATCCTCAAATGATTTTGGTTATGAAATTATTGCAATTAATATGAATTGCATCTGTTAAATTCATTTAAACAGATGCACTGTACAACATCATGTTGTACAGTTTTTAAAAAAAATAATTTGAATAAAATTACCTTATTCTTGTTCCAACACAAATAATGATATTAGTGAGTAGAGTTCAATTAATTTAATCATGAGTAGAAACTAATACACTTTATCAAAAATTTTAACGATTATTAAAAAACTGACATAAATTCGGCACTATTTTTGCAAAATATTGCGAAGTTCTTCAAGTTTCCGATTGGTTGCAGAAACAGAGTAAAAACAGTGTTGCCAATGGAATAAATTATGCCGCCATTTTTGAATATCGAATATGTATATTTTTTTAATTTAACTCGATTTATAAAAAAATTAATTATATGAAACGTATCTATAATATATTTAATTGAACTAAGTAGATACATTTTACGCATGTATTTTTTAGTTTCGTTTGCTTCAATGTTTCTTGAAGCTTTTTGAACCAATGTCAGTACTAAAGTAATGCAGAAACTCTAGTATATAATGTAAAATTTTATAAAGTAATGTTTAGTTTAAAAATTAATAGTTCTTTTCCAAATTAGGTATATAATATTATACCATCAATTAGTGCGGTGACAGGCGTAAGTCCCCAAAGATATTTGTGGAGGATAAGTGTTGCTTTGCATATGGGACCCAGGATTGCAATTGCTTTGGTATCAAAAACTTTCTATGATAATCTAGTCATTAATTATAAAGGAGTAAGTAAACACCGATTGCATTTCTGATTTTATTTTTAGTATGATGTTTAATGAAGGATTTTTTTTTCAACAGCAAGAATCATCCCGAGCCAAAATTTTAAACACATTGTGCCATTGGTTGAATTGCATTGAAATAGCAGCATTATGCGGTGTTACTTATATTTCAAATCGTGAAAATTATCGTAAGTAACCAGTTTAGTTTGTGAATATTATTGTATAAGTATTATTGCTGCTACTATTGCTGCTATATATTACTCATAAAATTTGCACAATATTAGTGATTTTGAACTCTCTCATATGATAGTAGTTTGTTGTAACATGGAAATATTATTATATCTAAAATATATAGGGAAATGCAAAAATTACTGACCAATCTACACTCTAGGATTGTGAGGTGATATTACCATTATATATGTATTCCTTATTTTTGTAGATTGTTGTAACGTGGAAATATTATTAAATCTAAAATGTATCGAGAAATGCAAGAGTTATTGACTAATCATCACTCTAGGATTGTGCAATGATATTTCCAATATATATTACCTTATTTTTTAATTTTTATTATAAAGCAATTGCACCTAATATTTTTTACTGTTATTTCTTATTAATATTATTTTTTTGTTTATTTGATATATTTGCAGTTTTAGATACAATTTATGTAGATTTAATAGTGAATCTTATGAATACATATACATAGTGCCATGCATTTTTTTACATGGTTATTTTATGTATTAGTTTACTTATAATTCCATTCTGAAAAAATATATGTTTTTCAGCTTTACATGAGAAGATCTTCATTGTTTTTATGATCTGTTCATTGTGCCATATGTTGACTGAAATAAAATTGCGAGAAACAGTCTGTGAGCAAACTGAGGATGAACAAAAGTCGATCAAGATCAAGAAAATACTGTTTTATACATCAATTATCACAACTGTTGGTTTGGTCGTTTTCTTTATGAAACACAGGCTATTATGTCATGATATGGGTAAGAATTCTTTTATTAGAATCTGGATGATCTTTATAATAATTTAAACTTCAATATATTCAAAATTTCTACATATGTATAGTATATATATTATTATAGTTTATTTACATAAGATAATTCTGATTACAGCATTTAGTTGGTTTGCTTTATGTGAATATGTGATAGCTTTTGCAAACATGGTTTTCCATGTGACTGTGATAAAAGATTTTCCAATGGAGCAACTAATTGTCACACAGTGGGATAATTCTCTTGATAAAGAAAAGAACTGCAAGGAACAAATTAATCATAATTCAGTAAAAGCAAATATTGGAAAATTAAACTGAAATCGAAGGACATGTAGTGAACTTGTAAGAGAGGAATGGATAATTATTGGTAAATGGATATTACCCGTTTTTTTAAGTATATTTTTTATTTTCTTTAGGAAATATGCATGTGAAGTATTAGGATTGCCAAAGCAGAAAAGTATCTGCTCAAGTTCATTCAAATCTTGTTTGAAAACCTTATATCTTGGTTATAGTTAATCAGGATAAATATATTTCATAACAATATGAGTAAGCTTGCGAATACACAAAACAGCTTTGGTTCTTAAAAAAGTTGACCAAAATTTCCTAAGTTGCTTCCAACTTGAACTCTGTATGAATTTGATGCAAAGTTTTTAATTTCTTCCAGATTCGAATTATTTTTTGATAAATGAATGGTACACTAAAATATAATTAAGAAACAAGAAATAAAGATTTCTTATTAAACTAGAAAAATAAATAATCAAATGATAATTTAGTAAAAAACGCGATCTTCAGATAATTGGATAGTTTTTTATCATGTAAATAGATTTTCAAGTTTTGTATATAGATCAAAAACAAAAACTATAGAGGTGGTACATTAACAATAGGCTTTGCTTAAATTTAGTATTTTTAATTTAAATTAAGCGCGAAACTTTATCCATCGCGTTCGCTCTGAAGTTAATGCAGAATGTCTTCTTCTACTTCTGTTGATAGATGTGAAGTAAATTTACAAGTTGTCAGTTACTTTCAGTGATCAAAGTGAAATGGGCGCAAAATAGTTTTAGTAAATTCGCGTAAATGATGAATTGGCGCAAAACGTCATTAGTTTATATTGCTGTAAGGCTCAAAATTCTTTTAGTGACTTTTCACATTTCGTAGTAAAATAGCAAATGATTGAAGGATCTATAGACGTTTTTCTAGCATATAATTTGAGTTCTTAATCGCGCAAAATCTGTAACCCGTACAAAACGACTTTGCTTACGTATAAAAAGTGAAATGGCACAGGATGACAATTTATATACATTATTTGATAGTGCCGCGATCGACATTTTCGTTATCTGGTCGGATTTATTCAAAATGCTTCCTAGCGTCAAGGCAAATTACCAAGTAAGAAATTTTTTTTTATCATTATGTGTTATGAAATATGTTTATAGCCTGAATTAACTATACCGGTTTAACCCTTTCCTTTTAATAAATTATAATCGATATCGAATTTATTAATGCATATGCATATTTCCTCCAAAGTAGTATGTGCTTGTGCAGGTGTCGTATGTGTGAATTGAGTAAATAGTACTTTTTGAATATATTTTTTCTACATCTTATTTACTTTTTAATCACACAATGAACTTTATAGTCTGAACAGTGATATTATTAGATACAGTAGGTATTTTGATTTTTTTATGTCTTATTCGAATATAATTCCAAATGGATATTGCATTTTAGATGATAACGAGATACTTTGATAGATCTACTTTATAAATAAGTTACTTTACAGTATAAATTTGGAAAATTATAAATTATAACATACAAATTAGATTATAAGCCAAATGAAAGAGGAATATTAGATAGCTTAACTAGAATATTTTTTGCGTTCATGATTTTGCACTGTGAAATATTAAATTGTTTGTATATATATAATACATACACATACATACATTTACAGATACATATACAAATATACTTACATAAATTTAATGCTCTTGGGTGATATAATGGAATTTTATTAGAATTACATTACAAGATTAGATCTGAAACAATGAGTAAATTGTTTAACTTATCGAGGCACAGAACATTTGAGAATAATTATTATTTGGAATAAACAAATTTATATATATATATATATATATATATATATATGTATGTATCTATGTATGTATATATGCATAAGAATTAAGTGTTTCAGTACTGTGTCTCGAAACTTTAATCAATATTAGGGCTTTGGGCAACTTTTACTATCAAGGGGCCAAACATCCATATACGTACATATTTTCACATAACATTTGGATAAAGTTACATAACATGTTTTGAACATAAAGCAACTATAAAATTTCCAACAATTATTGAAGTAGAAAAATGTCATGTAGAGGATTACTAAAATTGTTTGGCAATGTAATAACTTGTGCTGAATTTCTTTTATGTACAAAACATGGGATGTTAACCGGACACATGATATACACATATATATACATCAAGTTATTGAAATGCAAACAAAATTAACAATACCTCATTAATTTTATATGCACTGAAAAAAATTCTAGTCTTATTGCTGCTAATTATAATTAAACGATGAGACTTTGGCAATTACAAAGTGAAGTTTATTAATAAAAATACTTTGTTGAATGAATTTCCAAGTTAAGTTCTGTAAAAGAATGAACTCGAAATATGAATACTTAACTAGATTACATTTTAATATTGCCAAGGTGTAAAAAACTTTGTTCAACCAAATTGAATATACAACTAAAAAAAATTTAATAAAACGACTTCGAAGTCATAAAGTTGGCACAAAATTGTAGTTTTCCACAAAACGATTGATGCAATCGTCTAGTCAAGAAGACTTTGATAACCAAAAATTATCTTTATAAAGAATGATAATATGGAATAATTAAAACGCACTAGTCTTTCACTTCCTTTGATATTAAATCATAGATGTAGATTTTAAAATTGAAACATATATAATATATAATAGTTGTATATATTTAAAATGTAAGAAAGACGAGATGTACTTTTTAAGATTTAAAACTCTATCCTAGATGTAATACTCATCTATGAAAATTATATTTATTAGATACATCATATATAAATATATATGTATATGTCTCAGTGTAACAACATGAAAATATTGGTTTGAAGTAATAATGATAGCTCGAAGTATTATTTCATTTATATAAATACATTAAAGACTCAACATACCCAAAGTATTTGTCTACAAATTTCTATTACCCCTAAATTTTTCAAACTCGAAGCTATCATTATGAAACTTTCATCCCACATGTGAGTTTCCATTAAATTTATATGTTTCATTCTGAAAAATATTTATGAAAAGCCAGTTAGTAGCTAAAGTAAAGTCTATAAGGTACAAATTCTGATTTTCTATTAATAAATTTCTATTAGATATAAATAGTTATATGGATAGAAAAAGAGATTAATTGAGGCATATCGAATTAACAAAATCTAATAATAAAACCTTAACTCTATCTCATGTCAAAATTATGCAACTTAATCTTTGTTATTTAAATGGATAATTGAAAGGTTAAAAACTTCAATTCTTTTTTCGTTAAATAACAAGTACATTAACACATGTATAATTCAATAATTTCATTTCTAATTGGTATACTTTAGTATACATCAATCATTAACATAATAAATTTTATCTTTTGTAAATTGAAATTATCTAGAAAAACTATTTTGAATTCTTTGAAGTTATTTGGTTAATATTTCCGACAAATTTAAAACTTATATATAGTTGTAAATTTGAAAAAATAAAACGATAACGAAATACTCATAGATATATAAGGGGATAAATATAAATACAGGATTACAATGCAAAAATTGTATTTACTTAAGAATTGGTAGTACTTTATTGTAATAAAATATTTGGACAAATTTTAAGAATAAAATTGCGTTGCTAAATGAGAAAAATTATTTATGGGGCATATTGTTAAATAAGGTTTTACAATTCTTTAATGATATTTTTTTTAAACTTTCTCGAATGATATTGATGAGCTCAGCCATGCAAAAATCGAAAAAACAAATTACAGATTTGATTTATATTCTATAGAAATTTGAGTTCAACTTCTTAATGCCTATTTGTTTCTTTACTAATTGTATTAATCACAATTTATTTCTAGGCGATTAGAGTAGTACATTGGTATAAACTCTGATAAAATTTTATTATAATTTTCTAAAAATGGGCACTTGTTCATTTTTTTGCAAAATTTTTAACCTTATGTATAAATTTGTTTATACAAAGTGATCGTTAGCTGACGAACTAAATACGGTAACTTCTACAATATGGGAAAATTTGGCTGTAGTTTCATAAATAGATCAAATTTTTGCACATGTAATCCTATATTAACAGAAAATTGTAATTAGAGATTATGCACAAACCCAAAAAATAGTTTCTAGATGTTTGTGCATTATTTCAATATAGGATTATCTAATATAGAAAAACAAGGAAAATACAGCAATTATTAAATGTAGAAACTTAACATTTTTATAGCCTTAAGAGACTTAATGAGATACATGCAGATACTTATATTTATAGATTTTAATTTGTGGCCTACATATTTTTTATAACAGAAATGTAATAGTTTTCATAATTAAGACAAACGACATTGATTATATATTCTACAAAGTATGACCATAACAAGTATTGAAAATATGTGTCAAATTAAGACAGAAAAAATAATTTTCACATTAACGAAAATTTATATATAAATACAAATATATATATATATATATATATATATATATATATATTACATATTTACAATTATATTTTTCTAAACTTAAAAGCCCTTGTGATTAAAATTTTTTACATGTAAAAAATTCTACGTTTCAATATCGTTAAAATAAGTTTTAATTTTAATTATGGTAATTACTTTAATTTATTTATTATCTATTATAATGTTTAAAATCCTTCGATTGAGATGGTTCGTTTAATTATTCAAACATATGTCAAGTGATTTTTTTAAATTTAAGATAAATATATTGCAAGGGCAGTGTGATATCGAATTTTCTTATTGAGGGAGTTATTTTTTCTATACAAAGTATTTTACAATTCTGCATGCTTCTATAAGGACACATTTACTTAAAATCAATGTTTGTTATTGAAAAATATTAAATACGATTTTGTACGAGATCTATAGCTTCTGCTTCAGAACAAATATTTTATTTGATATTGTGAATTATGTTATTAAATCATATAATTGTACATGGTCATTATTTCAATACACTGTATCTGGAAAAAACATTGTTTGTATATTTCATTAATATACTATATTATTTTTTGTAAGACCAAATAGAAATTATATCTTACAAATTTTGATCTTAATTTATGGCGACTGTTTTTCTTGGTGGTT